AGCTCAGCTCACCCAGCTCAGTTCACCCAGCTCAGCTCACCCAGCTCAGCTCACTCAGCTCACCCAGCTCAGCCCAGCTCACCCAGCTCAGTTCACCCAGCTCAGCCCAGCTCAGCTCACCCAGCTCAGCCCAGCTCAGCCCAGCTCAGCTCAGCCAGCTCTCCACCTGTCTCTGTCCTGTCCCTTGCCTATCTGCACTGGGTACCCCATATCTGGTCCCTGACTCTCAGTGACCCCTGCAGATAAAAACTACCATCAAAAGTAGCCGGCTAGCGAATCCCATCAAATGACTTACCCTGAGCCTGGCGCAAGGCCCCCGCAGAGCGTCGTTGTTCCTGGCAGTGCTCAGCCTAAAGCCCAGACTGAATTCTTCCCCTAAAGCCGGAGTGTCCGCCGCCAGCTGTCAGTGGCCAGTGGCCACCCTGTGCGGGGCCAGCGCGAGGGTCCTGGGGCAGGCGCCGCAGCGGCCGGGACACGCAGGCCCCGCACAGATGCTGGGTCGCCCTGCACACGCCTCTGTGCCCTGCAGAGTCCCTGTTCACCCCTCAAGTCCGTTTGTGAGGGACCCGGTGGCTGCACCGGTGGCTCCAGGGGCTGGGCCCGGCACCCCGGCCCTAGTCCCCTCTGACTCCTTCCCCATCTTCTCTGGACCCGCTAGCTCACAGGCCAGGGCAGTGGCTGAGAGCCGGCCCGAGGGCAGGTCAGTTTGGCCTGAGAGGCCAGGCCTGGGGCGGGCTGGGCCAGAGGACTGACTCACCGCAGCCCTGAGAAGCGACCCTGTGTCCTAGCTGTTCCTGGTGATAAGCCTGGTACCCCAGCTCAGGTATGATACATAAATAAATCTTAAGAAAGAAAGCTTAAAGAAATAAATTTGAACAAGTAAACTGAACTAAGCTAAAGTGGAAAAATTAAGTTCAAAGAGTCCTGAGAGTCCGGCTGGTCCTGCTCTATTTTGGGAATGCAAATGGCCAGGTGCGCTTCCCCCGGGGGAAACCCCCGCCGCCCCTGGCCGTTTGCGTTCCCCAAAATAGATGCGGGCTGCAGCTTCCTGCCACCTGTGCTGCCCGGGCCCTGCTCAGCCACTCTGCAGATTCATCCGAAAACAGTCTTGACTTCTGTTGTCTGAACTCAGCCCTGACTGGAGCCGGGCTGCCCCTCGGCCCTGCGGCCCCTCGGCCGCGAGGCCCGACCCCCTCACACGCTAGGCACGCGCTGTCCTCGGCGCCCTCACGGCCAAGGCACTGGTCTTTCCACCCAGGCACCCCGCGCCCCCGGGCCCTGGCCCCAGCCACACGGCGCTGCGCGCCTCACCCACCCCAACACCAGGCGCCAGGGCTCAAGAAACATCAGAAAATGTAGAGTCCGGACTGCTGAGGCTGTGCCCTCGGCCCCTGGCCACCACCCGAGCCCTGGGGACCTGTCCCAAGGTCCAGCGCTCAGAAACCCAATCAGAGCAGAAAAAGGAGGCCCCGGAGTGGCCGACTCACCTGAGGACACGGTGACCTGGGTGCCCGGGCCCCAGAGGTTGAAAGCATCATAGTCACCATGCTGAGACCGCCACCCGCACCCCACAAAAACCCACGCAGCTCGGCGGCCGCGGCCCCTGACCTGTCTCCAGGTCCAGCGGCCTCGGGCAGCGGCCCAGGCTGACCCGGGAGGGGTGCCGACCTCCGGCCCCCTCCGTCTCCTGAGCGCCGAAGCACCAGGTGTCCCTGACACCAAGTTGAGTCCAGTCTCCCCAAGTGTCTGAGCGCCAGCCTGGGGCTCACCGGGGGACCCCGGTGACTGGGGTCCCCCGGCCCCAATTTTGGAGCCAGCCGTCACAATGTGGCAACCATGCCGGGACCCCCAGACAGAGGGGACCAGAGAAGGCCCCGCTGCCGGGCCCCAAGGGCAGCCCCCGACTCCTGTCCTCTGTGCAGCGGCCCCCAGGCCCTTCCTGAGCTCCCCAGATCACCCCAGCCCCTCTGGACCTGAGACCCAGACACCCTCCTTCCCCCCAAATGCAGCAAAAACCCCAGCGAGACAGAGGGGAGAGAGGGATTGTGAGGACTCACCAGAGGAGACGGTGACCATGGTGCCTTGGCCCCATATATCAAAGTAATCACACTGGTGCGGGCCCCCTTGGGGGGCGCACAAGATCCCAGCCCCGGCCGCCCCGGCAGCCTTGGTCCTCAGTGGCCGGCCCCCAGGCCGGGCTCCGGCCAGGACCCTCAGCCCCGGAGGTGGCCGTGCCGGCGCCCACAGGGACTCGGGTCTGGAAGGTCTGCCCGGCTGGACAGGGCGGCCAGAGCAGGCACTCACCTGAGGACACGGTGACCGGGGTGCCCTGGCCCCAGAGGTTGATACCGTAGTAGTCACCATGCTGAGACCGCCACCAGGGCCCCACAAAAACCCACGCAGCTCGGCGGCCGCGGCCCTGACCCCGTCTCCAGGTCCAGCGGCCTCGGGCAGCGGCTCACGCTGTCCTGGGAGAGTTGTGGACCTCCGGCCCCCTCCCTCTCCTGAACGCCAAAACCCAGATCCCCACACCCCAACCTCCCCAAACGACCGGAGCCATCGGGGGCCGGGACTCACCTGAGGACACGGTGACCATGGTGCCTTGGCCCCAGGTAGCAAAGATGTCACACTGGTGCGGGCCCCCTTGGGGGGCGCACAAGATCCCAGCCCCGGCCGCCCCGGCAGCCTTGGTCCTCAGTGGCCGGCCCCCAGGACGGGCTCCGGCCAGGACCCTCAGCCCCGGAGGCGGCCGTGCCGGCGCCCACAGGGACTCGGGTCTGGAAGGTCTGCCCGGCTGGACAGGGCGGCCAGAGCAGGCACTCACCTGAGGACACGGTGACCGGGGTGCCCGGGCCCCACCCGGGCCCCAGAGGCTGAGTACCGGGAACACAGCCCCAACCTGCCGCCGCTCCCAGAGCAAAACGCCCCCTGTCTGGACGCAGGGCTCGGAGGGGACACCCAGGCCGGCTCAGGCCGGCGTCAGTGGCCCGGGAGCCCAGAGGCCCCCGCCCGGCGCCGCCTGCCCTGACGGCTGGGCTGTCCCCCCACTGCGAGGAGGCAGCGCTGCGCCCCGGGATTTTGTAGGGCTGTCAATCACTGTGCTGCCCAGTTACACGGTGGCCCAGGGCTCAGCCAAAACCCCGGAGACCCAAGAGCCTTGCAGGAGGCGGAGGGGGTGCCCAGGCCCGCCCAGGCCCGCCCCCTCGGGGGAAGGGCAGCTCCCAGGCTGTGCCCGGCGGCCACGCCCACCCCACCCCACAGACTGCGGGGGGCGTCGATAGAGAGGGTGGGTGCCGCTCAGGCTGCTCCCTAGCCCTGGGGCCCTGGGGGGGCAGAGTGGTCACCCTGCCAGAGGTGGGGACCGCGCTGGGCTGGAGCTGGCAGCCGGCAGGGCGGCCTGAGTGTGCGCGCGCGCCAGCCGTGCGCCATGTGTGCCCGTGTGGGC